TCACATACTCCTAAATACAGGAATCGCTCATTCATTGTCTTCTAGTAATTTAGATAAATCATATGGTATATCCACGGTATTAGACTGCACTACACTGCACTATACTACACTTGACTGCACTAAACTGCACTAGGGTGTACTAGACTGCACTAGACTGCACTAGACTGCACTAGACTGCACTAGACTGCACTAGACTGCACTAGACCGCCTGCACTAAACTGCACTAGACTGCACTAGACTACACTAGACTGCACTAGACTGCACTAGACTACACTAGACTGCACTAGTATGCACTAGACTGCACTAGACTGCACTAGACTGCACTAGACTACACTAGACTGCACTAGGCTGCACTAGACTGCACTAGACTGCACTAGACTGCACTAGACTGCACTAGACTGCACTAGACTGCACTAGGCAGTTCTCTGACACCGTACTCCTGTGTGCGTTGGTGTAAAAAATAATGATTATGGGGAGGTTATTGTTCCATTTGATAAAAATGTAAAACAACTCAAGCTCGTGTATCTCTCGGGGGGAGTCTCCTGGAACAATAACCCTGTAACGGCTCGATACTGGGGAGATAGTTCCTTCCCGCAGTCTCTTTGTTTGCTTATTACTGATGAGACAAATTAAAAAATTGCACCTTATCCTGGCTATCCCGGAAATAAGGGATTGACTTTCGTCATTGACAAAATAACTGTGTCAAGTCCAGAGTTAATTTATCCAATTTCTGATCCTCCTTYGCCACTAAAGAAGGATGATAAGCTCAGGGTCTGGTTTACTTACGATCTGTACGACTTTGGGGAAAGTGGCAGTTACGGTAAAACCTGTGTTGATCTGTATATTCAGYAAGAATACGGTTAGTTGCCCCCAAAATGTTTGTCGGTCCGAAATACTTTAGGGCGAAAAATTTAACGCCATCTTTGTAGGTTGACGCGGTATATATACTAAATAACAGGGCCCAGTTGTTCAAAGCCCAATTAGTGCTAATCCTGGGTTAACTTTTAATAAGACCTATAGAGGTAATCCTGGATTAGCGCTAATCCAGCTTTGAACAACCCGGCCCAGTAATCTAGAGTGTATATGTTCGGATTTGTAGAAATGCGTTGTATTATGGGGCTGTTTAAGGAACCCTTCGTCACTCAATTGATATTTTATGCGTCAAGAAACCAAATTAATCTGAAAATCAACTACAACTGCAACTACATAATTAAAGTTTTCTTTCACTATTCTTTCTCTTTTCACTATCAGCAAACGAGAAAGACGCCATATTAGTAATAATATTCATAATATAGTTCCCTAAGATAACCCCATGATGAAACGCGTTTTGTATAACGGATTTTTTTAATTTGGACAAGACAAGCCAAGGCGTGCTAAAGGTCTTTGCGCAATTTACAAATATTTGTTAATGATTAATCGTAGATTAATAAATACGACAAGTCATCTAATAATGTCATATAATTTAAAGTAAGTAGCCGTCTGATTTATTTTTCTCACGTTTACATTTCATTTTCGTTTTTCAATAGCACATTATTTGTAGATAGTTGTAATCGTGGTACGAATAAAGCTGTTATAAAGCTTTGTTGTTGCTGTTATTGTTGGCCTTCTGCCCTTGGGTGTACGAATTACGCAAGATAATGTTCTAGCCTGGAAGCATGAGGGGAGAGACTAGTCGGTCCCCAGACCATACCTACAGATAATCCCTTGCATCTTGCCACGCACGGAATTGGTTTTTGAAAAGTCTAGTTAATCTAGTCAAACTGCAATAAAAAATGTATTCTAAGGATTTCTTCATAAACTTTGTTTATTCAACTTTCAGGAAATGTTTACTTCATAACATACTCAATTTTATGTATACATTTTTGTGTATACTGTAAAGCGAGCGCATTATTGAAGTTT